CCGCTATTAAGCTGAAACCTTGCTCAAGTTCACATCTAAGCCCGTATCGAAATGCTGAACCTGAACCCGAAACCCTAGGCCAACGACAAGAAACAGCTCGAGGTTGCTTGGGGCTTTGGGTTCGTTGTCGCAGCCAAAAAGTCACCAAGGCGCAAGCAAAGTAAAACAGTTACATAAGAGACAGAGAGAGAGAGAGTGGGAGAGAGAGAGGGAGAGGGAGATGGTGCCACAGCCGCATGCAACAAATATGCTAAGCCCCCAGATTGTCTTATCGCATTGAATTAGGTGTCTAACCCTTATTTCAACTGCCAGAGAAACTCTGACACTTTTACGCTTATTCTTGCCGTTTCATTTTATTTCTTTCTTCCTTACTCTCCTCCACTCTTGTTTTTTTTTTTTTTGGTATTTTATTTATTTGCGGGCCGCTTTGCTATTTGGCCTGGCTGCGTTGATTTGCTGGCATGTATTTTGGTCGCAGCGCCCCCGGCAGGAGACTCCGCGCCGTCCTCGTTGTCGTCGTCGTTGCTGTTGACACTTCGAGCATTTGCGGGCTTGTCATGTTGCCGCTCGCTTATCGCTGATTCAAGCCCAGGCCTTAGCCCAGAGCCGTAGCCAGAGCACGCCCCAAGCTGCGAGAGCATTTAAATATTTATTGCAATAAAATGTTTTCAATTGCGGCCCCGCCCACGCGCTGCATTCGATATGCAGGAAAAAGTTCAAGAACCAAAGGGCGCAATTATGCAGCAGCTGTGAGGTGACACGAGAGAATGAGAGAGAGAGGGCGAGGCAGCGGGAGAGGGAGCCAGCGAGAATGAGATGTATTTCATTTCATCTAATTGCGCGCTAATCGCCGCAAAAACATTTTAAAAATTTACGCGGTAAATTGTGGAAATCCGAGAGCATTTTCCACGTAACTCCTGCAGGTGCAGGTGGCTGAATGGCAGGAGGCAGGCGCCTCCTGCTGCCTGATGGCTAGCTGCCGAGCAAGCTCCACTGCAGTATGCAATGCAAAAAGTTAGCGGCAGTTGGCGAATGCCGTGCGGCTTTGCCAAGTTTATGCGCTCGCTTCCGCCGGAAGTCGGCAAAGTGTGCGTCTAAGTGCTCATCAGCTGGCTGAGCCCCGCAACTGCCCGCCCCCGACTGACCCGATGGGCTGCACTGCGCTCACGACATGATTTCACGGCACGTTTTCGGTTGTTTTTAATGCAATCAGCTCGACGGCCCCCACCGACTGCCCCAACCGACTCCTGCCCGCCAGCCTGTGTGCCCCCCTGATCGTATCGTGCTCTCTATGGCCTGGTGGGCGGCCGTCTCTCTCCCTCTCTCTCTCTGTCTCTCTCTCTTTCCCTCTCTCTCTCTCTCTGTCTGTCTCTCTCGCTATATATATATATTTTTTTCGTTTTTGCGGCTGCTGCCACTGCCACAAATTAGATTTAGTGGCAATTTATTGCTTTGTTAGCATTTCCACGTTCCATCCGCCCCTCCCCCCAAGCAACCATCCGCCCGACCAGCCGACTGCCCGCCCGCCAAACTCTTCTGTCAAAATATGCCCCGAAATGGCAAACTGAATGTGGTGCAAGTGGTGCTCGTAATTTGCTGCCTCCTCGCAGCCGCCTCCTGCCTGCTGCCTGCTGCCCGCTGCCCGCTGTCGCTCCACGTATTTGCTTTTTAATAATGTGTGCTAAGTAATTCTATTTGATTTTCCTTCCATTTTTGTTCTTCTTCTCTCTCGCATTCTCCTCGCCTCTCCCATTTGGTTTGTTTCGCGAGATTTTTGCTACTGTTTAATATTTTCTTGTGCACCCATTAAAAATGCCTGAAAAGGGTATTCGCCGTGGACCGTCCGCTTCCCATTTTATATTCGTGCGTGACTCAGAGTTCTTTATAGTGAAAATAATCTCTATAATTCGCACCCATCTGCGGCCTTTTGTGCAGACTTTCAATATTTTAAGTCTTTACTTTCCTCCTTCAGCGGTTTTTATAGTTTTCTTCTTCTTTTTCTTTCTCTTTTGATTTTTGGTGTAACTATGTTTGTCACCTTTCTCTGCGATTCTTATTCAGTTCATACTCTCTTTCCCACTCTCTTTTTTCACTGTGTCATTCTCTCTATTTTTCCTTTTTCTCACTCGTCAATGTACCGCTCTCTCTCTCTCACTCTATTTCTCATTACCAGTTTTTTCTGCTAATTTCTCCGTCCTCTCTCTGTCTTCCTCTCTCTCTATCTCTCCCTCACTTTCTCCCTCTCGCTCTCTCTCTATCAGTTTCTCTCTCTTTTTTCTCTCTCTTTCTCTCTCTCTCTCTTTCTCTCTCTCTCTTTCTCTCTCTGTCTCGTTCTCTCTCTCTATCAGTCTCACTGTCTCTATCAGTCTCTCTCTATCCCTCTCTCTTTCTCTCCCCCCCCCATCACTCTCTCTCTCTCTCTCTCTCTCTCTCACCTCGGCTTATCTGACTCTCTTTGATCCACTTTCCTTTCTTCTTGCCCCTTTCCCTACCACTTCCCCAAATACAGGGTATAATTGCTTAGATCATTCCCAACTCTAGTTTTGACACTTATCCCAGTCCATGGCTAAGCCCAGGCAGTGGACGCGGGTCTCGTCGCGGCACTTGGCAGTCGGCACACACATTAAGTAATTGAAAATTGATGCTGGCAGGAAGACAGCGACTAAGGCAAGTGAAGTCGATGGAGCAGGAGGAGGAGGAGAAGTCCGTTGACTCTATGTCCACTTAATAGACCGCCTTCACTTAGTGCGTAGTGAGTGGGTATGTAGGCTTTAGTGCTTCAAGAGCTTGTCAAAGCTCTCCCTCAGTTCGAATTTTTCAATTTAATTTCGAAGTCAATCGTATATCCCATTGAAAATATGCTCCCACACATCCGCACTACAGGCCAGAGCGAGCCGAGCCGAGTCGTTGCTGAATTCATCACATAAAATATCCCATTAATTGCGCTTGCCTACACATAATTTTCAGCGTGCCGCAGTTCCATTAGGAGGAAGCAAAACAAACGTTGACATTAATTTTGCTTATTACCACAATAATTATGTTTATTCATATACCCAGTGAATGGGTCGAGAAGGGTATTTTGATTTGGCAGAGGAAAATCCAACAAAAAAAAAAAATATATATATATATATATATATATATACATAAGATTAAAATATATTCAATGAGCTGATATACCCTGTAATAATAGCCTGGTAAACTAGACCTAGACACCTTATACATATATCAGCTCTGCTTACAGGGTATCCTTGAGTCCGCACCGTGTCCTACGTTCTACGTAGACTTCTTTCCGCCGCTGTGTCTGCTGAGCCTCCAGGGATACTCTGACTGCGCCAGCCGTGTTCTTTAACTGATTCAGCCAATTAGCTTTCATATTTTAGTGGATTCGCACACATACCACTTGGTTCGATATTTATTCTAAATTATATCCATATCCCAAAAGATAACATTCTATATAAAGTCTACATGTACTGCATAATCAGATATGATTCGTGCTGCTGTTGGGTTTTGCCTTCAAACGAATTGAATTTCTTAGAATTTATAATAACATCTCCGAATGGGAAAAGCTAGTTATTACCATCGTACATACACATATGTATACATACGTATATATATATGTATATGTATATTTGTCATATGTCTGATACGTCTCAAGCATTGACATACGCTCATGTATATTATTACCATAGACTGTGGGTGTAGGAATTTCTGTTGACATATGTGATTCGAGGTAGAGCTCTTCAGTTGAGCTCTACCGGCTACCCCATTTGCGTTTACGGTGCAAATAAATTTGATATGAATATTTTCAGGTGTTCAAATTTCTGCAAAGGTGTTAATAATTGTCGGTAGAAGCTGTTTACGGAGGAGCCTAACTCCAAAACTGAATTATATTTAGTTTATTTTCAGCTCTACCGGCTCTACCAGCTACCCCCTACGCTTTTACGGTGCATACATCAATTGATTTCATTTCATATGAATATATCATTTCTGCAAAGGTGTTAATAGTTTTCGGTAGAGGCTGTTTACTGGGATGCCTTTAAAGTTGATATATACCACTCTAATCGTCATATATAGAGGAGATATATAAGTTAAGCGCTCCCATACTAGAGTACCAGTGATGGGGGACGCTGTGTTGGGTTCTTGTGAATATATAAACAACTTTGTGTTCAATGAAATAATATATTTGATATAATTTGGAACAATAGGTCTAAACTCTCTCTAGTCCGAATATAAACTGAACTAAATCTGTTCTACTGTTTAGGCTCACTTGAATGTCTGACAGAACTCTCCAGCCTCCTTAGGTTGTCGAAAGTCTTAACTTGTGCAACAACTTGAATGATATCAAGTGAGCTTTGTGGTATTCCAAGTGAGAGAGAGTTACCTCAAGCTAAATGGTAACTAATATGGAGTGTGAGCATGTCAACTGTAGATCATCCTGAAGGAATGGTGTATGGAGTGCCTGGGATCATTACGATTGATTCGTTAAAGGAGTGATTGATGCTGGTCAGATCTGGTTAGCACCCTCTATATGTTTAGGTGTATGCCCTAATTGCTCGCATAGTAAAGTACTCGTATATCATGAGTCCCCCATCTGCCTCCCCATGGATAAACGACAGCTGAACGACCTGAATTTCCTTCAGCTTCATCAGTTAGATTTTGACACCTGAATGACGTGTATTTCGTTTAGTTTAGTTTTCATTTCATAGTCCAGTCGGCGATGCTTTGTGTATCCAATTCCATTCCATCTAGTAGTCCTACAATCGTGTTTTTAGTCTAGTGTCGGCTCAGAGTTTCGAGCACAATTTACAATTTCATTTGATTTCGGCCAGTACGCAGTTTTTAATTTTCCCAATGATAAAATTTCAACTAACGCTATAAATTTTCTATTCAATTCGCAAATAACTGACAAGCTCGCTGAAATATCGTCGTATTGTGTTTAAATTTTTGTTAGCTGTTTCTTGTTTTTTTTTTTTTGTTTCGTTCAAGTTAGCAGCGGTAGCATGGAGTGCGCTTTTGACTTGAAGCCGCTGTTCGAGAAGGACATCATCAAGGTGCGATCGGACCTGCTGCCCGAGGGCTTCGTGGGCAGCCCCGAGGCGTGCTGCGATGCCAAGCGCAAGCTGGGCTGGATCATTGACAGGATCGGGCTGCTGTCGGCCCAGGCGCAGGGACTGCACACATCGGTGACCAGTGCCCGGCAGATGAATGGCAATCAGACGATCTACCTGATGGCCGGCAAGGCCAAGGAGGGCGGCAAGCTCGTCGTCACCGGCCTGCTCAAGATGGGCCCCAAGGATCTCTACCTGTTCGACGAGCGCGGGCAGCTGCGCAGCCGCATCGGCACTCCGGCCGTGCTCGACTTCTTCGTGCACAGCGCCCATCAGCGCCGCGGCCTGGGCAAGCGCCTGTTCGACAATATGCTGCGCGACCTCGATCTGACCCTGTGCAAGTGCGCCGTGGATCGCCCGTCGGCCATGATGACAGCCTTCCTGGCCAAGCACTACGGCCTGGTGCGCACCATCGCCCAGGCCAACAACTACGTGCTCTACGATGGTTTCTTCGGCAACAGCGATGCCGATGCCCAGGACATACCCAACACCAGGTTCGTGCGACGCCCGCGGGCAGCCGCCAAGCCCGAGCTGGAGCACAAGGTGCTCAGCATGGCCGAGATTATGGAGGCGGGCAATAGGCATTCGCGCGACAGCAGAACCATCATCAAGCGCAGCGGAGATAGCAGAAGCTGGCAGTAAGGAGGCCGCGACTTTGTGGAGACAGACGGTGGGGACGGACCGTGGGGGCGGACAGTGGGGCCGGACGAGGGGCACAAGGGGGACAAGGGAACGGACAGGGGAACGGACAAAGGGACAGAAATAGACAGAATCGCTTAAGGATAACAATCTGTAGTAGTCTTATATATATATATAGATAATATATATATATATATATATGTATGCTATATGCTCATATATAGATGCATATGTATATATATTGATACATATTCACATATCTACACGCACATTCACACATGCACATGTCCATGTGAACTATCTGTAGTATGCCATTGTCTATCACGTGTTGTCTCGCAGCACTACGGAAAGCATTCAACTGACACAAGAGGTTGTCGACAATCGAAATAGCATCTTTTATTCGTTTTTGGCCGAGGGAGCGTTTTCAAAATTCGAGTACACACGAAACACGGATTTCACAAGTCTACACTTTACATTTGTTGGGATTTAGCTGTTTAGGTACTAAATGTATTATCCAAATCATATTTCTACGTTTAATAAATAATGTAAATATAACCACGCCGAGAACTCCTTATTTGCACGGCCAAACAATCGCTGGGCGACTTCATAATCGGCTATCGGAAACTGTACCAGAAACAGCAGGTATTATTCTGATGTAATAGAACGTGCTGCTGCTGCTGCTGCTCACGCTGTTAGAATACCCTCGAAATCATTGAGAGCGAAAACTCTGGCTATGAAGGTCTTGTGAATGGGCAGAGAATAGGGCGTGAGAGAAATCCCATTGCATTGCTAATATGTATAGCTTATAACTGATCTGGAAGGCAGAGAAGAGGTCGTGAGAGAGAACCCATATCATATCTAAAATATATGCATATACCATATTATATATCTGTGTATGATATGTGCATATTCCAGATTAAAAAGACTTCCAGTATCGATCCAATCTGTTCGCTCCTCCCCCCTTCCGTCCGTCCGTCCATTTGTCGACGCTTCTATCTCTCAAGCAACAAAAGCCAGAGACTTGCTATTTGTAAAGCTTGTTTATACTTATACTAGTTTATCATGTTTCTTTTCGATAGCTCTAGTACATTTTCGAATCGATAAAAATCGATATGGTCTATGATTAGCATTAGAGTTTCACATTTTATTATTACTGTGAAGGTTCGTGTATGACAGACGAGAATATAAGAATTTTCGGATTTTGGATACGTGTCCCAATTTCCCCAATACACACAAAAAAAAACTTGGATCCCTTTCCAGAGGCTTGAATGTCATTTTCATGCTTTAAAAACTGAAATTAAAAATTCTATAGAAAATAAAAGTTAATCAAGAAATAATCAGTCAGTGTAGAACCCAAGCACAGCTCAAACTCTGCCCAAGCTCTGCTCAAGCTCTGCTCAAGCTCTGCTCAAGCTCTGCCCAAGCAAGCAGAGCTCGTGCTTGTGTGTGTGTGTTGCTTGATTGGAATGTTAGCTGAGCACACTGTAAAGGGTATCTGCTAGTCGAGCCCACTGGAGAGAACTTGTTACTTGTTTGTTGTCGTTGCTGAATTTCGCTTTTTATTTGCATAGTTTCAATTTCATTTAACTTTTATTTGCTGCCACGTTGGCAATGCCAAATGTGGCGTTAAGGTAACTTTGTCTTGTTGTTGTTGTTGTTGTTGCTGATGTTGTTGTTATTGCCCAGCATTGGCATAATATTTAATAGGCAGGCAAACAGTTGGCTCGAGAGTGGGCTGCGTCTGTCCTCTGTCTCTGTCTCCCTCCCTCTCTCTCCCTCTCGCTCTCCCTCTCTCTCTCTATCAATGGCCCACGCAGTTTAGGCCGTGTCGCATCATTTTAGCCAAATGGCAGCAACGCGAAAACAAATTCTGAGCCGCACCGTGAATGGCGAATGGCGAATGGCGAAACGAGTTTAATTTCTCGGCCGTTCGCAATTGGAGCTGCATTGGATGCGCGCATCTCTGTCTGGATATGTGTATTTGCGAAATGTTGGCGAGAAACAATGATGGTTGGGGCAAATGGGAAATGAAATTCAGTTGAGCAGGCACACACACCTACGCACACACACACGTGCACGTCGAGACAAGCACAATGGGAAAAATATTAAAATTCAAAATTTTTGTCACGTGTCAAACGCCATTTATGCGCTTCGTGATCGCACGCGGCTCAGTCTGGGGCTCACATATACATATGCACATGAGCCAGGCACACACACACACACACACACACGGATAGCACGGCCTCAATACCAATACTAATGCACGCACGTAGGCAGCGGACAGAAGGACACGTAGACGAGGCGACGCAGCGGTCGCTAGAAGCAACAGAAAGTTGAATAACAGGGCGAGGCTAGTTCAGTGTGAGTGAGAGAGAGAGAGAGAGTGAGAGAGGGAGGGGGAGTGGTAGTGGTAGTGTGGGCATAAGACAACAACGAGTCGCTTGGGGCATTGAAATTATCTCACGCAATGTGTAACACACTGAAGACGAAATCAATATTTATATAAAGGTGCTTGCTGCACCCAGAGTAACAGGTATACATGCATATGTATGTGTGTATGTGTGTGTATATATTATAATAGTATTATAGAGTATTTATAGACATACAGTGAGTAACAGGAAATAGCATGTATATTATGAAATATAATAAGAAAAGTGTAAGTGATAAGGTTTACGTAGAGAAATTTCACATTTCAAATGAGGTATATATCAAGTATTATACTTGACACAGTTATAAAGAATTATCCTTAAAAAGCACCACGGCTGATTAGATGGAAAAGTGTCTCTATAAATGTGGCATATATCAAAGTATTATATTTGACATAACTACAAAGAGTAATACATAAAAAAAAAAAAAAAAAAAAAAAAAAAAATAATTACCGTTACTTGAACATTTATTAAAATTTTCGTTAATTTGACGTGTCAGCGCTTGCACACACGAACAGACGCACGGACGGACAGGGTCCTGATCAAGAATTTATATATGTATATATACATTATGGGGTCTGCCACGCCTCCTTCTGCCCGTTACATACATTTTCACCAAACCAATATACCCCGATTTCCCATTTTATTTATTTATTTATTTTCTTAAAGCTATTGACAAAAACGAGAGTCAATTTTAATTTAAAAAAGCCTATACAAAGTACACGATATAATTTCAATAGTAACACCAACCCGATGGGGGTATTTTATTTGCCAGTCCGGCCGGCTATGCCCACGTCTCACAGCCAAACATGGTCAGTGATACTATTGAAGCTATGAAAAGAAAGTGTTAGTAAGAAAACTTAAAAAAATAAAATATTAAAATGTAGGTTATTAAACAATATTTAGCATACTTAAGATAATTCTTAAAATAATAATAAAAAATAAAAAAATAATAATAATAATAAAAAATAAAATAAAATAAAATAAAATAAATAAATAAATAAAAGGAGTTAAAAAAAAAACAATAATAAAAAAAAGAAAAAAAGAATAAAATAAGAAGAGATAAAGTATAGAAAAAGAAAAAGGCCGGTAATAAGAGAAGTTGCAAGAAAAGTTAATAAAAAGAATAAGAAATAATAAAATGAAAAGAGTAATGGAAGAGCCAAAAATAGAGTATAAGAATAGAATTGAGAAATCACTAACACAACATTAGCAGCAAAAACGTATGCCAATGCTTATGCCTGGGCATTGTGAGTGATTTCCCTAAGATAAGCCGATAGTACACTTTTTATTTTAGGAGGAGAGAGCTCTAAGGAAAAAACGTGATAATATTTATTAAAATTAACACAAAGAACATGAAACGCACTGTGCAAAGAATAATCCCTAGTGCACACAGGTAAATGAAGCGGACGATAGTGTCTAGTTGCTCGGGACGGAACCAAAAAATTTAGACGACCCAACAGAGAGGACGAATCAATATCACCACTAATCAATTTATGCAGAAAAACAATTCCTAAAATTGTTCTGCGATTGGTTAGCGATGGAAGATCAATTAGCTGGAGCCTACTATGATAAGACGGTAATCGTAAATTACTGTCCCATCTAAGGTCTCTTAAGGCAAAGAGAAGAAACTGTTTTTGGACCGATTCGATACGATCCTGATACAGTTTATGTTGCGGAGACCATACGACAGAACAATACTCTAGGATAGGACGCACAAGCGAAGTAAATAAGCGCTTGGTAATAAAAGGATCTTTAAATTCCTTAGACCAACGTTTAATAAAGCCAAGCACACTTTTTGCTTCATTAATTATGGTAGAAATATGAAGATTAAAGTTAAGTTTACAGTCAAAGAATACACCAAGATCTTTGACTGTAAAGATGCGTCGTAAGGAATTATTGCTAATTTTATAATCAACAATTAGAGGAACGGTACGACTGAAGGTCATTGTCATACACTTTGAGCAATTTAGGTCAAGCTGGTTTGCCACACACCAAAGTTGAAATGCATTTAGGTCATCTTGAAGGTGAAGATGTCCATTTGCCCTGGAGTATGGAAGGCAAAGTTTTACATCATCAGCATACATAAATATCGTGGAATACGAGATACAACTAGGAAGGTCATTTATAAAAGGGGAAAAGAGCAATGGGCCCAAATGGCTACCCTGAAGTACACCAGACGAAACAAAGATAAGTTTAGACATAGCTGTTCTCAGCAAGACTCTTTGGGTTCTACCCGTTAAATAGGATGAAATCCAAGAGACAAGACTGGGTGAAAATCCTAAGCGTTCAAGCTTAAGAATTAGTATGTAATGATGTACTGAGTCAAATGCTTTACTGAAGTCCGTATAAATAAGATCGGTTTGCATTTTTTTGGAAACGCTGTCATTAACAAGCGACGTGAACTCAAGTAAATTAGAGGACGTAGATCGATTTTGAACAAAACCATGTTGAGATGGTTGAATAATCGATTTGCAAAAATGCTGCAAGGCCGATGTTATGATTTTCTCAAATAACTTCGGAATAACAGATAATTTCGCGATGCCTCTATAATTGGAAATATCAGATCTTCCACCT